AAAACTTGTAGTCTCTACTTTCAACATCATATCAGTCATTTTATTCTAAAATGTTTTCACGTTGTGTAGATGACAAAGTGAAGACACTTTTCTTCTGAAAAATGTTATAAACATGTAAATATATATACATTTTTATTAAATGTATTATATATAGATGACAAAGTGAAGACACTTCACATATAGATATATAGTAAACATATATAGTATACATCATAGTATTTAAAGCATTGAAAAAATTTGACTGATTCTACATTTGAAGATTTAGATCTTCTCTTTATAATGATTCGTTAAAACTTGCTATGTGATTTTTTTGCTAATTTATTGAAGTTTTAATATTAGGAGAAAACAAATATAATGACGAAAATTTTATGATTTTTTTGAATTTTTGTTATCTTAATATTTAATAAAATAAAAAAGATATCATACGTCAAGTTTTTAGTGTTATTTGGGGAGGCACTTGATCTTCAAATCTATTGTTCAAATTCAATCACGAAAAGTCATAATTTCAAAACTCAGATTTATTGTTGTACGATTTTTTTTTACAAAAATTATAATAATTTCAATGTTCATTTCCAGGGCAATTCCATAAGAGAAACCGAATAATCATAAGGATATTTACAAAAATAAATAAATCTTGTAGAATAAAATTTTTTCGTTTAAGGTCTCGTCGCAAAAAAATAATTAAAAAAAAAAAAAACAATCAACTTAGTATCTTAGAATTTTTCTATCGTCTAAAACTACAAAGCATTATATTAGAAACAAAACATGTAAAAATTTCGACAAAACAAACATATTGCTTTGCAGTAGAAACGTTTTGTAAACGCCTTGTATATAAATACCAGTAAAAAATATTGAAATGTTCAAAAAACATTCAAGATATTAAAATAAAACAAAGATCACAGAGCCGATATATCGGTACTTAGATATTAAAAGAAAAATGTTTTGTTAAGAATTGCTTTGTTACACGCGTATTTAATAAATTTTCTTGAAAATGAAAATTATGAAAGAATTATCCTCTATATTTTATTTTCCAATCTTAAATAATCTTCTGCCGATTGTTATTCATTTCTGCTGGAATTAATTTAATTCAAGTATATACTTAAGAAATATTTAAAGTCGATTTTGGAAGCATCCTATGAAAAATTTTTATTCTATATTTGCATTTAGAATCATCTTCATCCTGGTACACTCTGAATGTTGAAATATATAAAATAATATATTTATAATTATCAAATTAATATTATTAATCTAAAATTCATTATTAGCATAACATTTCCACTGCATAAACACAAACTATAAATATTAATAAATCTTATAATTATAAATTAATTTTTAAAATTTGGATAAAAGTTACTATAAATATTTCGATTTCTTTTCTTTAATAACAATATGTATGTTAAATGTTCTTTGAACCTTGATATTGTTAAGTCGAACATCTTGAAAAAAACAAAAGCTTTTTTATAAAAAGAAGACATACTTGATGTTTTACTCTAACTGAATCCCAGTCACGTGGTTTTTTTGTCTCATTAGGTTTGATGCATCTAATATAATGTGGTGTACATTTCATCAATTGATTCATCAATTGACTTGCTTGATTTCTGATCTTGTTACCAGCAGTAGTAGGTCTGGATCTAAGTGTTTTTGTTTTATTTGCTTGAAATTCTGGTGGATAAAGTTTCTGGATCAAAGAACTGCAAATTTACGTTCATTCAAGTTAAAATGAAATAAAATTGTATAATGTATTCGAATAATGGTTTATACAATTCACTTGAATAATATCACATTATTATTTTTAACTCTTTTTATAACATCATTGATGATCATTGCATTTAATCATAAATACACACTATGCAACAAACACGAATATTATTAAACTTATCAATGTTTGATCTCTTTCCATTTCTAAAAACACTTCACATTTTACATACAAATTGAACAATGGAAGTTATTCTCCAGATGAAGAAATATCTATGTAGGAGGAATTTAATGCATAACAGAAGATAACAGTAAAACTTACTTAGTGCTCGTTTGCATCAGTTCCACGAGGTCTAAGAAAAGCACATCGCGATTTTTATCACAAAATCCATCAACCGAATAAGAAACAACACCGGCATAATGTACAATAGCAAATCCGTCTTGCGTGCTTTGAAAGTGTTCATGTTTGTTAGATGCAACTGCAAGTTTCTGTAATTAATATTATTAATGACATTATTGTTATATCGATTGTCAATTGTTATTAGCGAAAATTACGTGAAAGTTGTGGATAACATACAAGAAAAAAAATAAATCAACTTGATGTTCAGTATTTATTGTAAATTAAATTACGAAACATGTTATGTTAATGTCATTTTGATATACCATATTTATATTATAATAAATCATATAATTTTTAATCGATATCTTCGTTCATATTATGATCCATTGTTACCAATTTTTCAATTAGTAATATTACCATAAAGCTCATTGCATGTGTATTTCTCCTTTTTTCGTAATTAGACTAGCCAGAATTGCATATATATATTAGAATTACCTTACATATATATATTTTTATTATTTATTTTATTATATTATTATTTATTTATTATATTATATTATTT